CCAGACGCCTCAGCCTGAAGCTGCAGATCTCCTGGCCTCTACCTGCAGCTCAGCTGCTCAGCAGACTTGACCCTGGAGTCAAGTGTCCACTCTGCCCCAGCCAGCTACAGCCAGAGGTTGGACTTCTTCAAGAGCAAATGTTTAATTTTTATTTGGTACTGGGGATTGAACTCAGGGGTACTGAACCACTGAGCCACATCCCCGCCCTTGACAAGGTCTCACTGAGTTGCTTAGTGCCTCATTGGTGCCAAGGCTGGCTTTGAACTTGTCATCCTCCTGCCTCAGCCTCCTGAGCCACTGGAATTACAGGGGTGTGCCACTGCACCTGGCTAAGAAATCAACTTTGACTAAACTGACTAACTGACTTTACTGACCCTATCTGGCTCTGATCAGTCTTGCGCACAGTCCTGAGTCATTTTTCGGTAACAGCACATCTTTTCTGTAACAGTTCTGGGCCTGGCTCAGAAACTCTCAGAGATGAACAGGGATGACCGGCTTTACAGCTGCCGCACATCTCGCTGACCTCTTAGTTACCAGCTGCCCTGAGAAACAATGTACTTGCTCAGGCTGGGAAGCCGTGTCACCCTTGGTCGATGGCTTCCCTCATCTGTAAACGGATGTGTTAAGCAATAGGTAGCTCATAGGGACGTGATGGGGACTGAATGCTTTAATGCCTGATAAATCCCCTGAAACAGCTCTGGATGTGAGTAAATGCTCCATACACATTACTCTCAATCATTAAATATTGACTGAGCGCCTTCTTTATGTCAAATATCATAATGCCCCGGGGATACAGCACTTAGCAGAATCGCCTATATAATCGAACTTGCGCGAACCATCGGATTGTTTAAGTGCAACCGTGTGGAAGATGTGGCAGAGGAGGACACAACGCTCCCTGTCCCTCCCCCCACTCCCGTTTATTCCTGTGATAAGGTAGTCTTGTCTCCTTCCTTCACAAACGCATCTCCAATACCTAGGAAGGACCTGGCCCTCTGTTAACTGGGTGAGTGAATATGGATGAATGAATGAAGCGCTATTTTAGCTGCCCCTTGGGAGATGAAGTGTTAATGGCGTGAAAGTGGGGAGAGAAGGGGGAAGGGAGAGTAAATTGGTATCAGCACATCTCTGCAGGGGACCAGCCAGGGGACCTTGAGAAGTTACTACTCTTCAGCCTAGGCCCTTTTCACAATGGTTAAAATAGGAACAAATAACACCTTCCACGTGGTGTGTCCCGAGGATTGGAGTGAACCTGAGACACCCAGCACGCACGTGCAGCTCTCAGTACACAAGTTGTCTCTTCCCTCCCCATTCTTGCTGAGGCTGGGAAGTACACTTGATATGTCTTATCATGGGAGGGACATGTGGAGATGGAGAAGGCTCTTGATAGTATTTGCTCAGAACCGCTTGAACCCTTCTCCCTGAGATCTGGCAAAGACATGCTTACATGCAGGAAAACCCACAGAGGCCCTGTATGGTGAGTTGGGATTTCCTCCTAAATATTAAAGGAGCTGTTTTCTTGTGTACAAGGTAGGTCTACAGAGAGTCAAACCTTAACTGACAGCAAAGTCTTGACTTTAGCCATGTCAGAAAACCCCGAGGGGACCTCAGAAACCAAGAGGAGAGAGAGCGAGAGAACGCCCCCAGACCATGGAGGAGACTGGCCCAGGCCATTCATGCCAAGCTTCTCAGAGTCAGACCCTGAGACCTGATCCCAGCAGCCTCCTGGGAGAGGTGAGGGAAAAAGATGGCGCGCCTGCCTTTTAACTCCTGTGCAAGCTCCTCCCACTGGGGCCTGGGCCAATCAGGGTCTTAGAATCTAACCTACCAGAGAGAAACTCCTCCTCCTTGGAAGTTGAGTAGGGTCCAGCAAGAAGCCCAGAGCTCCCCCTACAGGCCAATACTAGTGGTGCACGGGGTTTCTTTTTAGGTTGATTTGGAGCTGGCATCCCCAACCTTAAGGTGAATGCTCAAGGGACACGATAGGACACGTTCTATGGCACAGGGCAGGGGACTTTTTCTAGGAAAAACATGTCTGACTTGGTCTCTGTCCAGGAACGGAGACAAGGCTGGTTGAGCTGCCGTTCAGGAGCCTTTGGATTCTGTTTGGCAGTTTCCAAGCTCTGCTGTTGTTACTAAGGCATCACGTGAGCAGGACAGGTGGCTGCTGGGGTCCTTCTGCATACTCTGAGCACTGCAGGACACTTCCGGCCAGAGCAGAGTGGACCCAGCCTCTCAAGCCTGGCCGTCCAGAGCTCTGCAAGGGCCAACAGTTCATCTCTCTGACCTCAGAGGTTTGCAGAGCCTTGAAACTGCAGCTCATGGAGAAGGCGCAGGGTGACCGAGGCCGGCAGCAGCTGGGGATTTCCAGGGAGGCCTCTTGAGACAGCTTTTCATGCAACTGGCTTCGCTTTATTTTTAACAACAGCAAAATTCACCCCGGTTACTAGACCATTCTAATCACTAATAGAAGTCCCCAGATGTGCCTCTTTCTGCTTAATCCCTTTTCCACTCCTGACCCTTTTGGATCACTGGTCTGTTTCCTGTCCCCATAGTTGGCCCTTTCCTGGAACTTCCTATAAACAGACTCATGCATTGCCGGGCCCTCTCGGTTGGATGTCTTCTCTTAGCCTGGCGCTTTGGGGGCTCGTAAAGGTGGTTGCGGGATCTCTAAGACGTTCCTTCTTATTGCAGAGAGGCGTTCCCTTGGGTAGATGTGCCACAATTTATGTTTCCTCTTTGGAGCTATTATGAGCAAAGTGACTCTAAGTCTTCAAATACAGGTTTTGGATGGACACACGTTTTCATTTCACCTGGGTCTAGATTGCTGGGTTGTGTGCTGTAAAGAGTATGTTTAACTTTATGAGAAACAGCCACACTATTTTCCAAAGGGCCTTGGCCATTCACACGTCTTCCCTCCTGTATGAAAATTCCAGTGTGTTTTCTTCTCACTGGTACTCTATTTATATATATATATATATATACTGAGGATTGAACTCAGAGGCACTCGACCACTGAGCCCCATCCCCAGCCCTATTTTATATTTTATTTAGAGGCAGCGTCTCACTGAGTTGCTTAGTGCCTCACTTTTGCTGAGGCTGGCTTTGAACTCATGATACTCCTGCCTCAGACTTCTGAGCCTCTGGATATCTTGATACTTGTTTTAATTTACTAAACATTTGGCAATTTCAGTAGGTATGTGGACTATTTTTAAAATTTAAAAATAGCAGTTTTCTTAGGAGGACCGCTCATCACTTCAACAACATATAAAATAGTACCTAATTATTGCATCTATTTATTTATTATTGCATCTATTTACTTGCTTCCTCGTTCGCTTTCTGGGTCTGTTCCTGGCCTATCAATTTCAAGCACACGTCTCCACCTGCAGAGGGACCTGTGCATTGGCTGAGCTCATGGAGGAAGAGAGAAATAGCTATAGTAAAGACCGGGGTGTCAGATCAGCTCTTGGGGGGCAAACCTAATGCGTGTGCTATTAACTTGGGCCTTGCACTGTTTCACAGGGAAAGCAACTTTTGCACTGGGTTGGGAGAAAGAAGGAGTTTCTTAGTGAGAACCCTGAGAGAAGTAGAACACCTCTGGAAAGAGCAAGGAGGTGCACAGCCCGAGGCCGATGGGGGTGTGGCTCACTTGGGGGTGAAGGAGTTCTGGGTGCTGAGAACTTAGTTCCATGGCACAGGGCAGGAGGCTTTGTCTAGGAACCTGATGTATGACCCGGTCTCTGTCCAGGAATGGAGACAAGGCTGGTTGAGCTGCCGTTCAGGAGCTATTATGTGCCAGGGTCATAGTAATAATAATGCAGAAACTTCCAGTGCTTGCTATGTGCCAGGTGGATCTAAGATCTCTCGATGAGCTAATCCATTTCTTCTTCCCAACCATCTCACCCTATAATGATAGTCTGAGCACTATCATTATCTCCATTTTTACAGACAAGGAAACAGAAGCAGAAAAAGAGGTTCTGTAACTTGCCCGGAGGCATGAGACTGAGAAGGAGCCAGGCAGTTGATACTCCAAAGTCTGTACCTTTAACCACGGTGCGACACTGCCAGGTTGGCACATGCGCTCATTAGTTAGGGAAACCTGTAAAGCTGCTCTAATAAATAGCCCCACAAACACAGTGACTTCAACAAGACAGAAGCTACATGTTCTCTCAGGCGTCAGCCCAAAGGGACAAAGTCCAAGGCTGAAAGGGTGGCTTGGTCCTTTCCATACGTGGCTCCCAATTTGGGTTCCAGGTGGTCACTTTCAGTTCCCAGGTTTTAGGGAGGAGGAGAGGGGTCAGGGAAGCTCATGCACGTTCCTTGGAAGGCAATGACCCAGAAGCACATACATATCCCAGGAGCCAGAGCCCAGCTGCTCAGCCTCACCAAGCTGCAAGGGAGGCTGGGAAATGTGGTCTCTAATTGGCTGGCCGCGGCCTCTGCTAAATCTCCAGATTCTGTTATTAGAGGGAAGGATGGATGTCGGTGGGGACCTAGCGGTGTCTGCCGCAGTTGGCAGACTATTGGTTGGACTTGAACTTTGTTCTGGGGGTGATGAGGAACTGGCAGATGGGCTGTGGGTGGGGAAAGGTAGGATTTTGTGCCTAGACTCGAGTTTTAGATCACTCCAGCACTTGCTTGGAGAATAAAAGGGAAGGGGGGGGGGGGATAGGAAATAAAATCTGGTGCCTGTCACTTTGTTTGGCTGTCTCTGAAGTCCCTGCTACAGGTAGGAGCCAGTCCCTTGGGTTCTTGGGGGGTCCGTTGGGGGCTTTGCAGGCTGAGTGTGTGCTGGGGCGGAGCTGGAGTGCTCAGCTCTTATTCACTCCCTGGGTGACCGTTTGTCCCAGGGATCTAGCTCAGGTCCCAACAGGTGTGACGAATCCAGGGAGGCCCCTTTCCATCCTTGGTGACATTTCCATCCAGTGACACTCGGCATAGCGTGGCTCCTGGGCTTCCCACACTGACTGGCTTCTTTTGGTTGTTGTTTCTCTTGACCCTTAGGATCCCCGGAGCAAGCACAAGTTTAAGATCCACACCTACTCCAGCCCCACGTTTTGTGACCACTGTGGGTCCCTGCTGTACGGACTCATCCACCAGGGGATGAAATGTGACAGTAAGTACCTGCTCTCTCAGGCAGCCTCGATGACACGCAGAGGCAGCGGGAAGGTCTGCTTCCTCATGGTTTGGGGGTCAAAGTCTGCAGCACATTCTCCCAAACCCTGGGAGGGATGCACAGAGGGCGAGGGGATCATCCGTGGTGTGGACCACAGGGAGGCCCTTCCTGCAGCTGAGACCCACAGATGTGTCCAACAGCAGCAGGCAGACCTCCCTGTGCCCGCAGCGCCCGGGGGTCTGTTCGGGCAGGGGGAGCCAGCGTGGTTCTCTGCCAGGTGGGGGCGGGGCGGACTCCTCTCTGTTAAGCAAAGGTCTGGTGGCCTCTGGGGCTTGAGAGCTGTGGCTGCAGAGGTGCAGGGAGGCTCCAGGAGCTGGTGGCTCCCAGGGGCCAGTTGGCCTGTGTAGCTGAACAGTCACAGGGGTTCTGAGGCCCAGAGGACAGCGGGAGGACCCTCAGGGGCAGAGAGGGGCAGGAGAGAGAGAGTGGGATGGGTGAAGAGTGCGAGAGTCAGACACACACACATTCACACGTGGACAGACTCAGAGGGACAGAGGGGACACAGAGAGCCAGGCACAGAATGCTGTGTGGCTCAGCTGAGAGAGCCTCGGGCGGAAGGAAAGATGGACAGAAAGACTGGGACCAACACAGAGGTGTGCACGGGCCTCGTGATGGAGAAGACCCTAGGGACAGAGACGGGAAGGCACATGGGAGAGGGAGACAGAGAGACCGAGAGGCAGCGAGACGTGGAGGGAGAGGAAGAGACCGTCGCAGGGGCAGAGACGGACAGACCTGCTCCCTGTTGCAGCTGAGGGGGCCAGGGGCACAGAGGAGCAGGGATCAGAGCCAAAATGCACAGATGCAGGGACAGGGGGACAGAGATGGCGCAGACTCAGGGAGGGCTGCAGAGACACCCGTGGGACAGCCGGGGCCCCCAGTGAGATGCAGGCGAAGGCCACCCTGGTGCGCTCTGCCCCAGGAGACGTTCCTGACGTCACCGCGCCCTGGACCCCTGGACGTGGGGGTGATGCTCCCGGCAGGGTCCCGGGGCTCACTTCCTTCTCCGGGGCAGTGGTGGTCACAGCGATGATTCATGGCTGTGCCAGGGTGGCCCGAAGGCCCCGCCCTCTGCCCTCAGTTTGGACAACTCTGAAGGTGGGGACTGGGGAGAGGGTTGGAGAGGCCTTTGGGTGAGATCCTGGCAGGGCCCGCTGCTCACTGCCTCCAAGGAAGAGGAGCAGGAAGGCCCAGCCGGCCCCAGAGGGAGGGGGCAGACGTCGGGGTCCCCGCCCGGGCCAGCCTGAGCCGTGCCCTCTCTCTCTCTGCCTTCGCAGCCTGCATGATGAATGTCCACAAGCGCTGCGTCATGAACGTCCCCAGCCTCTGCGGCACCGACCACACGGAGCGCCGTGGCCGCATCTACATCCAGGCCCACATCGACAGGGAGATCCTCATCGTGGTCGGTAGGTGGCCCTGGGGCTTCTGCAGAAGCTCCCCCCCCCACCGTCCTGGCCCAGCTTGACCTGGGTGTTTAAAGAGGGAGGATGGTGGGTGGTCGGGTGGTCAGAGGGGCGGGAGGGTTGTGATGCCCCCGTCCCTGGCAGCGCGTGTCCTTAGAAACTGTAAGCCCTCAAAACTATGATCCAAGCCCCTCTGGGGCCTTGAGCTCAGAGGGGGACCCCCTGAGCCCCCTGGACTTCTGACTTTATTCTTAAAACTTTGTAGTTGACATATAATAACGGTGTGTATTCCTGGAGTACAGTGTAATATTGTGACACATGTGCACAATGTGTAATGATCAAATCAAAGCAGTTAGCATATCCATCACCTGAAATTTTCTCTGTGTGGGGTACATTCCAGGGGCTTGTAGCTTTCACAGGATTCCCCAGTACCTTTCTATCCCTCTTTCCCATTCTTCCTCTCAGTATCGACAGAGTGCAATTCTATTTCCTTTATTCAGGTAGTAGAGAAGGGATGCTTGGTTCTTCCCCAAGCATTTCCAGCCCCGGGGAGGGTGGGGGGTGGGGGGGGTTGGGGGAGACCATTGTCTTGATGTTTGTCACCAAATTTCAGAGACTGCTATGTCTTGGAGAGGAGGAGGTAGGAGGTGTGAAATCCAGGACGCACCCTGGGGCTTTCCATATAATTTAAATGTTTTTCTTTAACCCAGTGGAGGTCCTTCTAGTGGTCTCCGTTATGCTATTCTGGATACTTTTTGCCTGTTTAAAATACTTAATAGGAAAGAAGGATAATACAGTGTAGGGGAGAGGTCAGAGACCAGGCGAAGAAAAAGGGTTTTGTCTGTTGCTCACGAGGTCAGCCCTCAAGACAGACTTGGTTCATGCAAAATTGGAACTCCGCTGTGCTGGCCTGTCGGGTGCTCAGCCATAAGCCATGGTGAAACCAGAGCAGATGGAACTAAAACTTTGCAGGAATTCTCTCTTGTAGGCTTGCGACACAAACTGCTGTAGACTTTACATAACTAATTAATATAAACAAGATTTTATGAATCGGTAACTTAGAATATTAGTCATGGAAGGCAGTGGTGTTTTGCAAAAATTGGTTTGTTTCTAAGGTCCCAGAATGGTTCCGTAGCTCTGATGTGCTGAGCCCAGGGTTGGGAAGGGCTTTACTTAAACCATATGAAAGTCGAAAAAATATCCTGGTAAAATACAACTCCTCTTTTAAATTGCAGTTTGTAAAGGCCAGTGAGCTTTTAGACAACAGGCACTGCATGATGTGGGAGGAAAGAAAGAATCTGCTTGGCCTCCCAGGAGGATGCTAGGGGGGCCCAGGGGGAAATCCTGCATCTGCAGGACCCAGGAAAACAGTCCCTGTCCCTCACTGTCTAAACCACCTGGTACCCAAGGTTCAAAAAATGAAGCTCTTCTTCCCTCTAGTGTCAACATCTGGGAACTACAACAACTCAAAAATTTGCTGCAGATAGAAAGGATTGATTGGGTGCACAGTGCACAAATCCTTTCATGTTCTCTTTTCCAATCCCACAACAACGTTGAAAGATATCTGTCTACTCTGTCAGCTTTATAAATAAAGCATCCGAGGCTCAGATAAGTTATACTGCCAAGAGCTCACACCATTGGTCATGATAAAACAACAGCTAACGTTTACTAACGTGTCCATCATTAATGCAGAGCGCTTAGAGGCAGTGTCTTGTTCAAATTTTTCAGCAGCTCTAATGAGGAAAGCGTTTTTATTCTCCCCAGTGGGAGGTGGGCTTAGAGAGTCACAAACGCTTTCTCGCCCAGGCCTCTCTGGCTCTTCCGTACTGTACTCAACACTAAGTTACTCTTCACCTCATTTTTGTTCCTTGAATCCCTCCCCCCCCATATTATTGGTTCTCTTTGTGGTTTGGGTAGAGCACTCTGATGGACCGTCTTTGGGGAGTCTTGGTTCTGATGTGGGGATTCAAGTTCTTTTCAAGTTTAAGGTCAATGTCTGCCCCTTCATCATAGATACACCATGGGCTCCTCTGGACCAGGCCCTGCAGCACTGAGGAAGTCCTGCTTGGGGACAAGGGGACTGGTCTGTCACCCTCTAGGTCAGGCAGTGCTATGAGATGACTGTGTCTCCAAAACCCACATATTGAAGCCCTGAGCCCCAGTGTGGTGGTATTTGGAGGTTGTTAGGGAGCTAGTTAGTTAGGGTTAGATGAGGTCATGAGAGAAGGGGAGAGAGAGAGAGAGAGAGAGAGAGAGAGAACTTTGGACCCTTCCTAGCACAGAGTGGCCTTGTGGTGTGTGTTGAATTGAGCACCTCACCTCACCGGGACCCCAGAAGCAGGTGCCGTGTTAGGACTTCTCACTCACCACCAGCCCCCAGAATGTCCCTTGTGTTATCTTGGGAAATCCCAGCATCTCCAGGGGTCAAAGGGTTTCCAACCCCCTGGCCACTGAGACCCTGCTGGTCGGTCTGCCCCCGCGTTTCTTGCAGGTCACGATCGGAATGGAAGTGGGGTCGGATCCTCTTCTTTTAAACACCCGTCCGTGGCCTCCTACGGTCTTCAGGACAGGCTGAATCTGTCGTGGTGGTCTTAGTCTCTCTCTTGAGGCCTTTCCATCTGTGCACCGTTCTCTCTCTCTCTCTCTCTCTCTCTCTCCCCCCTCTCCCTCTCTCCTCCTCTCCCCGCATCTCTTCCTCTTCTTCTGGAGCTCAGCTCATTTGCAGGTATCCAGACCCACCTTGTGCTGGGAGTGGTTTTATGCTGGGTTCTGTCCCCAGCCACCTCCCCACAGAGCGCTGGCTCCATGCAGGTGGACGGGGTTTCTTTGTCTCCCCCCTGATCCCCAGCACCTGCTGCGGTGGGCACCTCCAAACATCTGTGGGCTCAGTTCAGCCCTGTGACGGGGCAGACGGCTCAGAAAACCTCCCAAGTCCATTTTGCCCGACTTGGAGAGTGTTTATTTAGCCCGCCAGCCGGGAACTGCTCCCCGCAGGACCCAGAACTAGAACTGTCTGTGCAAGGAACAGCCCCGGGCCTGAGCGCTTCAAGGTGTCTAAAGGCAGAAACCACATCCAGGTCGATGTCGCTCCAAGCAGGGGACAGAAGCTGAACCGAGCAGTTAGCGAGACCATGCGACGGGTACATTGGTATTTCCCACGGGACGTTCCAGGTTGGCTTAGCGGCCAGCAAGCAGAAGGGAAGCGGGTCAAAATGACCCTAGCTGAGTGCAAGTTGGAGAACGGTTACCAACGTCCAGACAATCCATCTCTGCCAGGGTACACTGCCCCAGAAGAGTGGGAACCAAAGAGAACAATTTTACATCGCGTAAGAATTGCCCTTTGGTGCTGCCCAACATGCTCCGCTAAGCAATCGCTGACAGGTACGGAGGCGGGCGCTCCCATGCGAGAAGCAGGTCTCGGATGACAGGGAGTCTCAGGGTAGAGTGGAGTCTGGTGGGCCATTGCCCACCTAGCCAGGCCCATAACAGTACCCTTCTGTTTTTATCAGCTTTTTCACTGCTGCTACTAAAAGGATCTCACCAGAACAATTTTAAAGGAGGAAAAGTTTATTTGAGGGCTTCAAGGTTTCAGAGGTCTTAGTCCAAGGAAGGCCGGCTCCATGGCTGGCCTCCAGGGGAGGCAGGACATCATGGCGGAGGAGAGAGGTGGAGGGAAGCAGCTCACGTGGTGATCAGGAAGCAGAGAGACAGACTCCACTCTCCAGATACAAATATAGACCCCACAGCCACGCCCCCAGTGAGCCACTTCCTCCAGCCACACCCACCTGCCTCCTGTCACCACCCAGTTAATGCCACCAGGGACTAATTCACTATTAGGTTAAGGCTCTGACCCAATCATTTCTCCTCCAAACCCTCTTGCCTTGTCTCACGTGGGAGCTTTGGGGGACACCTCACATCCACACCGTAACACTTATCCACATAATAACGGCCTCCCCTTTGTTTATATTCCCATGTACATCACAACCATATTCTTAGCGGTCAAAAGTCATGGTCATGAATTCATACGCACCTTTGCCTCTATGATTATATCTCCCAAAGTTGGGGCTGATTCTTTTTTGGCAGAGAGGTACTGGGGTTTGAACCCAAGGGCATCTTCCCACTGAACTAGATCCCGAGTCCTTTTTAATTCAAGACAGGGTCTCACTAAGTTGCTGAGGGTCTTGTTAAATAGCTGAGGCTGGCCTCAAACTAACTTGCAATCCTCCTGCCTCAGCCTCCTGAGTCGCTGGGGTGACAGATGTATACTAAAACCCCCAGCTGAGAGGATTCTTAAAAAAACAAAAGGAATTTTTTTGGATGTTTCTCTTTAGGATTCCAAATCAGTGTTCTGAGTATTGCACATTGTACTGTGATATACATAACTCCCAGGCAGACTGAGGCACTTCCAAAATGTGGTAGTTAAATCCATCCCAAGATCTGACATCCGCACATCAAAAGAGGAACAGCATCAAAGAGGAGAAAATTCTTAACAGGTTATTGGAGAAAGTTGAGGGTCACATCCACCAACTCTCTAGATTCCAAAAGAGGCCTTAACAGCACTCTCAGGAAAAATGGATGTGGAAGTCTCATAGAAGCCATTATTATTATTATTATTATTTGGTACCAGGGATTGAACACAGGGCTGCTCAACTACTGAGCCACATCCCCAGCTCTTTTTTATTTTTTTATTTTGAGACAGGGTCTTACTAAGTTGCTCAGGACCTCACTAAGTCGCTGAGGCTGGCTTTGAACCTGTGATCCTCCTGCCTCAGCCTCCTGAGCCTCTGGGATGACAGGTGTGCATCACCATACCTGGCAAGACCCTCTTATTATTTAGAGAAGGTAAAGAAGTCCTTATGAGGATTCTAAGAAGGTATAAAAAGTACCAAAAGACCCATGGAGGCCCTTCATCTGGGCGTTCCACCTGGGAATCTCGCATCTGAAGCCAATATGGCGGGCCTGGAGCAGACCCAGTAGGGCAGGCCAGGGCATGCACTGACCCG